GTAATTATTTTTCTTTTCTTTATGTGGTTGCGTGGAAGAGCGAGGAATCGAACGCCGCCACTATTTAATAAATTATTTTAATTGTACAAATAATAATGCGAATAAAGACATTTATTATTATTATTATTATTATTATTATGGCAAAATATCTAAACAGAGAAAAAAAATTAAAATTATGTTTTGAATAAACAATAACTTGAAACAATATCTGCATGCACTTCTAAGGGCAAACATAAAATAGCAAGTGTTTCCCCTGAATCTCTAATATTTTTTTGCATATATGCATAGCCTTAAATTTGTTATATTAATAGTGAAATGTATTTTGCTAAAATCTTCTAGTTTACAGTACTAAAATTTTTCCTAGAGCCATAACTTTTCTGGCTAAAAGTTTCAGATTTCTTAGTACCATTTTTCGAAATAGTTTTTATATATTCATGAAAAAAACTACTCTCGTCAGAATTCACAAAATCAAAAAAATCGCATTGAACTAGGATGTCTGTAGGAAGAAATATTACGAAGTTTTAAATTTCAGTTTGTATATTTATATATTTTTTCTGTTTCGGATTGATTTATTGATCTTTCATATACGAATAGTTCGTGTGAACAGAGCTTCTCCGAAATGTTTACTATGTAGTGTAGGTGTTTTAATTCCATTGATTTATTATTATCCATTGAAAAATATTTTCCTTGTTAATTCCCTGGATTGTGATAGCTGATTATTAGAGGTCGGAAATGTTAGAGCGGTTGTAATGTGGTACAGGGTCGGCTGTAGGCCGGCTTCTCTTTCATGTAATTCGATGCAAACAAAAAGTGACACAACCCTTGCCTTCTTATAACTGCACTATTTACATTATAAAAGGGGCAGTGTCTATTTTTTTACATTAAACCCTTCATATGGAACTTACTATAAAATATATAGGTATAGTATATAATAATAGGTAACGAAATAATAATTTTTTACTCATAAGGAAAGCGATTTTAGAAAATAATTAAATACCCTTTTCTAAAACCAAAATGACTGTTCAACATTTACCGAGGTCACAGGTTCATATCTAAAATAGTCAAAGTTCTTAATAGATGCTATTTGTACTAATAGTGGTGAATCATCAACTACTTCACATTTTAGTAATCCCACTATCTGTGCCATTGTACAATAATATGTACATGAATCTGAAGCTTCGCATCGATCAATTTATTCGATACGTATCTAGCGGCACCCTAATGCCTACCCTGTCGACCTGGCGCGCCGATGAACAATTCTGTTTTTTTGCTGAGGGACGTTGGCAGTGTCATTATCGTTTTTTTTTAATTTTCGAATTTATTTGAATTAACTTAATACTTATAAAATAAAAAGGACAAATATTGGTTAGATAAAAAAACACACTTGATCATCGAATCGAACTGTTTAGCGACAAAGTGGTTTCATAATAAATTGAATTACGAAAAAATCATCCTCGCATGCACGGTTGGCCGCACTGCACTCGCGTGTTCCTCAATAATAAGGCGTTATTTCGTAGACTTAATTTATACCTTGCATTATGTAATCAACTTAGATCAGAGCCAGAACTACCCCATAAAGTACCCTGTGCCTGACCCAAACCCACGAGGGTTGTTTGAAAGGCAATTTCATGGAAGTTGTGGCACTACGTTTTCTTTATCGCTACCTAGCATATTTGAATTTCAAAGAAACATTCATATCGATCAAATAAACGTCCAAATGCGAACTGATATTCGTTTGGAGGTAATAAGTCACTTTTGTTGGATAACCCATCAGATATCTGGAGATACTGAAATTTTACCTATTGAAGTAAATTTATGTTTGATACTATACCTGTATTGAATAGATAGCCACATTATGGATCCTTCAATAAAAATGCGTACTTATGCTGAGTACAGTTACTTGTTAATATTCAGTTAATACCATTAGTTTCTGTTAAAATTAAATACAAAAGTGTGTCGATAAAGTAATGAAAAAAAAAAGTTATTGAATTCTATATAGGTATGTTTATAAAAATGCAGTTAAATTTAAATGTTTATGTAAATGTACACGAATAATTCTGCTCAAAAAAATAATAGAGATAGCGCATTGCACACAGCGCACAACGCAAATGACGCTAGAGATTACAGAAGCCTAGCGATGTAAGGGTTGAAAATACTTCAATAATTTTTTTCTCGGAAACTAAGGATTTCGAAAACATTTTTTTTACGATATTGACTCCATTTTTCATGGCGCATCTAATCCCAAATTGTATGTACACATCAGAAACAGTTTTCACTGAACACTTTTCGGTGATACAATCGCGTTTGATTTGAAATGATGCGCATGCATCTCTCTGTTGGAAATTGTTTTGGATTATTCTAAGTAGGCACATGGCTAACAATTTATTTACCGGGAAAGCATGTTGCGAATATTTATCTTAAAGCATAAAATGATTTTCAATAGTAAGTTCAGATTAAATTCATCCAACATTCAACTTCAAACGAAATTTTGACAGTTCAGTTAAATCTTCATTAACAATGTTAACAAAGTTTTGATAACTAAAAATGCAATTTTCACATGAAGAAGACCGAAAATGCTTCAAATTTATTAATTATCTACCTAATATCAAGAATATACGGTTTTGTTTAATGTGAAAATAGCTTTTCCAATCATCTGAATTTTGATATTGCTAATGAAAATTTAAGAATACATCTTAAATGTGGACCTCCATTATTAGATACAGTTTTCTATCAATACAAAAAAAAACAGTGACGCGAAAAATTCATTTTCAAAATCCCTTCAAAATAAAAATTAAAGTTATACCACTGTGTAAAACGAAAATAATGACGTATATTTTCATCGATTTTAGTGTTAAAAAATATACTTGTTGCATACCTATCGTTAAAATTCCTGATGAAAATAGATTTACTTTTCTATTCCAGTAATCAGTTGTGGGTTGGAGATATTCTAATCTAATTAAATTTCACTTTTCTTTGCCAAATTTACAACTAAATTAAATGTTTTTCCGATTTAGATTGACTTACCTGTTTTCTTTTATACTTCCCTGTGAATGTTGTTTCATGACATTTATATAGGATTTATAGGAATACATTCTTGTGACAGGGCTGGACTTGCGGTGATTTCAGTATTTTTTATGCGAAAGGTCGTAATAAATTGGTCTAGGTGTTAAAATTTGAGTATAGAATTACATACTTGAAATTAAACTGCTTTTTAGATGCTGATCCAACCTAAAATGTAGAAATTCTGTAAAATATTTCGTTGTGGAACTGGCAGTAGAATAATCAATAACTTTAATAGCAGCATTAACAACAAGGCGCAGCCTAATATGGGCCAATATCACGGAAACTATTACCTTTGACGTTACACAGTAATATACAGTGTGACCCATTTCAAACGTAATCACCCTTATAAAAAAAGTATTTATTGGTCGATTTAATTCGTTTTTTTTATGATGGGTTTAAAAAGTCTATTAAATTACATATAATCTGAATTTATTTTCAGTTATCAAAGCCTAACTTAAATTTTTTTCGGTGTCAAATTTGACAAAAATTGATTAGCGATGTTTTTCTCAATGTTATTTCGAGAAAACAATATCCATTGCTCATTGTAAAATTTTTCCATTAATTATTTGATTCTATAACTGGACATTTAAGAAAAATACGAATAAATCGATCAATAATTTTTTTACAATATTTCTTTCTCATTTTAAACCTTTCTACGATGGTACAGCTGTTAACGCGGTCAACTTATATCACTATAGAGATCTCTGTTTACGAAACTCTATTTACTTTCCGCGAGTATCAAAAGATTTTGTAAAAATAATAATAAGTATATAAGTAAGCTGCGTTAAGTGACACTGTACCACGTGATCGCTCAACTGTTAGGCGATTGGTCAGATTTTGAATTGCGCCTTTGATGATTGGGTTTATACAAGGAGTAAAGACTTCAGGTCTGTTCCAACAAGAGTCAGGGATTGGTTCCGAACCGTTTGAAATGTTTGGCCAGCTAAGTTTTAAATGTGTCTTCAGTGAATATATCGCAAGAATTAGTTGAATGCACATTTCTGACGGTTCGGAACCAATCCCTGACTCTTGTTGGAACGGACCTTTCGTGTACAAAAAAAGTGAGCCATTTCTTGGGTCACGTAAAGGTGGCGCTGATGTAAGTATAGAGTATGAAAAAAGACGCGCAGTTTCGTTACTAGACTCTCCAGTGCATTAGTGCTACAACGATGACTCCTTAAACTTTAATTTGGGTCATAAAACAGGATCCAAATTTGTATGCGCGACCCATGTGTCTTTACTCCATAGTCAGGCCGTTCACTTAAAGCGGCCTACACACGGGGCAACCTACAGGGTCCAATCTGCAGGGACCCTGCAGATTGCCTCATGTAGATCCGATATCGGGAAGTTGTCTCGGCAGACCATACAACCGCCCTGCTCCCCACCCTTACGCCCTGCATATTGTATGGTGTGTAGCGCAATTGGGACAATAACAGGTTGATTCTAGATTGATGTGGCTCGTGGAGCAAATAAATACGTGTTGTTGTTAACAAAATCACAGATTTGGAGCCATGGTAGAGCGTATTTACATTTTAATACAAATTCCCATACTGACCGATTGGACCGTGTGGAGAGTCATACCCAATATCCACCACTCTAACACCCTACAAATTGGTTACTGCAGATTGCCCCGTGTGTAGGCCGCTTAACGCAGCCGTAAAGAAAACACCGCATTGGTGGATTGGTTCACTAGCGGTAATCACAAGGAAATTTTGTCATGGCAGGATTTACGTAAACGACTGTGACCGTTAACGAGTTGTTGGTTGCTTACGTGAAATAGACAGAATAATCATTATTTTGTTATCTACTTTTTGAAACTTGATATACCAAGTAGGTAATTAAAAATAGATTGAACTTATCTATTAAACATGTTCTGCGTATAAATGTGTTTATAAGTTAGTGTTTCAGCAAGTAACACAAAAAATTAAAGTAATAAAACAAAATCATATTGAACCTTTCATTCCTTGCAATGTACAAAGTTGAAATGAACGTGGAATTTTAAAAATCCTGTGGATGGAAAGCCCTCATTAGTGCCTATGGGAAGGATAGATTTAAGAAATGATAGTTTAGTTATTATGCAATAAGAATTATATGCAACAAAAGCGATAATAAAATATGAAAATATTTATCTAAAACAAATGTCAAGTTTTCAAACAAATATTGGTAGATACATTTAAAAGCATTTGGATTAAGCCTACTTTTTAACTTAACATTAAACGGAATAAAATGAAAATAAAATTATTATACTCTTCTAATAAACAGGTAAAATATAATAAATAACATAAGAATTATTATTTTACATAATATAATTTTTCTTTGTTACATACATTTCATATGTTAAGTATAGTAACATTTTATACATGGATAATAGTTTAATTATTTTTTAATTACAGACAGTATTAGAGTCATCTCCTGTACAAAATGACGATGAAAATGATGTATGGGGCCATGGGTTTATGATTCCGTCTGATGCGGACAGCCCTCCAGCAAGGTATTATGGAAAATTTCATAGTATCCCTTCCAATCAATTTGTAATTCTCTAATTTTCAGATGGGGTAATAAAAATAAGTGGTGTCGCCCATCGTGCATACCGATATCAATTATTTGTATTTTGATCTTCCTTGTAGTCCTGTTACCACTATTAGATCATGCTGCCGAGAAAGCATTGTTAGAAATAAATTCTATGGACACCTGTAATAATACATGCAAGTGAGTATATTTGATTTATAACGTATAGGTTTATAATTTAAAACAGAACAGTAATAATTACGTACCTATATATAGATAGAAATTAGTTAAATTATTTTTTAGGTTATCATTAACCGAGAGTATCCCAGAGGGTTTGGTTTATTCAAACGATTCAATAATTTATCCTTCCACTTTTGATACATGGTTAGGCTTAATAAATTCCGCTCAAGAGTCAATCGACATAGCATCATTGTATTGGACTCTTCGCCAGTCAGAGGTCTACCCAGATCCATCTTCCGATAAGGTAAATACATCTCAAATCAAAACAAACCTTTCCTAAATAACAATTTCATTCTAGGGAGAAAAAATATTTCAATCTCTTCTGAGGTCGGGGTTAGATAGAGGCATAAAAATTAGAATAGCTCAAAACGCTCCATCACAGAATTTTCCCAACATAGACACGGAACTGTTGGCAAAACGCAAAGCGGCAGAAGTCAGGAGTTTAAATTTTGCGAAGTTATTAGGCGGTGGTGTATTACACACTAAATTATGGATAATTGACAGGAGGCATGTCTACCTTGGTAGCGCAAATATGGACTGGAGGGCCTTGACACAGGTAAGTAATCACATTTTTAAAATTTAACACTCTATACGGAGTCTTTTTTAAGTTTTAAGGTTTACTTGTAACCTGATGTAGAACTCGACAAAGTAAGCAAATTCTTCAACATATTTTCAATATCTCGAAAATAACGGGAAAGCTATTTGAAATATTCAAATTGATCTCTGTAAATATAATATTCAATTCTTATACAGTCTGTACGTATTTGTTGAGATAGAATTCCAAGAAGACCCGTATTCGACACTCGAGGTAGAAAGACATTGGGGGCAGGGCGGTCACCCTTCATCCGGTTGAAATGATATGTGCTCAACTAAAAAACAACGTGGCAAAGAAAAATGTTTATTTTAAATTCTGACGCCTCATATATGCTACATAATTTGGCGTTTAAAATGGCTCACTTTACTATAGCGACAAATTAATTGATGTATATGGGAAAAGTTGCCAAAATGCTGCCATAGCATCGCGATTGCATGCCGAACGTTTTTATTCATAGTTATTGGGTGCTTATTGACTTTATACCAGGTGTCCCAGAATATATGGGCAATCTCTCGAATTTATACAGGGGACGTTAAAATAACATAACAAGTTCCTATAAAAATTTTCCCTCGAGGGCTGCCCTAAGGAGACACAGGCTCCTAAAGCATGCCCTTGAAAATCGATTTTTTTTTTTTAATAACTTCTAAAATATTTTTGTGTAATTTAATTATTTTTTAATACAATGGACAACAGATAAGACTCCTTAAAAATTGACCCATGAAAACAATTTGGCTTATTTGGTTTGCCAGGGACGTACTAGCTGTAGTGCAATAATGTTAATTTTTTTACACCCTTTACGATAAACGCACAAAAATAATATTTTTAGATAGCTTGAACCTTAAATTAAAAAAAGGTACTCTTGGTTGATATCGACAAAATGAACTGTTTTCGAGAAAAAGCTATTTTTGTTTAATATGATTTTTATTACATAATTTTGTACGTCGGTTCAACATGAGCTCCTTCTATTATGTATTCCCTAGCTTTACGAATTGAAGATTGTTAAAAATTAAATTACATAAAGTATTTTAAAAGTTATTAAAAAAAATTATTTTCAGTTGTTATGTTATTTTTACGTCCCCTGTATAAATCCGAGAGATTGCCCACATATTCTGGGACACCCTGTATACTGCCAGATTGAATGACCTTAGATTTTTCTACATTATTTGTAGAACAATTTATCCGATTTTTACACGATGATGCTTCACCTCATTTTAGTCGTGAAATACAGGATTATTTAAAGAATAAAATTACATTACTGTGGGGTTACATGAAATCTTTGGGATATAAGACTAAAGTGAACGCAGTGGAGGAATCATGGTGAATGCATAGAAAACGACACCAAAATAATTTTGGGAACATGTTCACTTCTAACAAACTTAATAAACACCCTGTATTTCCAAGGATATGTATTCTAAAAATCTCTACAATTCAGGCTAAGGACATGGTCAGGATCTTATATTTATTTCTCATATTTTAATATGTATAGTTTTTGCGGCTATTTATAATGTATATACCTTGACACGTGTAAATTGAATAATCAATATTTTTAAAGGTGGATATTCTGCTATGACTATCTAGAAACAATGTCCAGTAATCATTAGCTACAAAAGTTCTTCCAAAGTAGTTTATGTTTACTGTTTTAGGTGAAAGAGATGGGAATAGCCATTCACAATTGTTCATGTTTGGCTGAGGACGTACAAAAGATATTTGAGGTGAGTTTTATGACCCCACAATTTTGAACAATTAAAAATGAAATATGTATAGACATATTTTTTTATCTCTAAAATGTGTAGGTATGACCTAAAAATTTTAAATTTCTTTTAATTAATTTTTTTCTATTTATTAGTACCTTATAGCGTTTGTAGTTTACTATAAATTATTCAAATTAATTCTAAAAACTTTTCAACATTTTCATTAAATGATATTCTGATTTGTAGGTTACAATTTATTAAATAGACTAAGAAATTGCATATTTGGAAACTAAACTTTCCCAAAATTGCAAATCCTAAGCCTGCTATGATGTATTTTAGGTGCAAATTTTTTAAAAAACAGTAGTTGCAATTTTTTCAAAATGTAATAACACCATAATTCTACATGCCTCAAAATGTTCCAATACCAATTTTTATAACGATCTAATTATTTCTCTTTTTTTAAATAAATTGAAAAACATTACAGTTCCTGGTATAGGTAATTTCATTTGCTTTAATTATTTTATTTTTTATTCATTAATTTTTCCTGAGCAAATTTTGAAAAAAGTCTATTTTGCTCTTTCACACGAACAATTTATGCATCTTGCAGAATTAATTCTTCATAATTGAAAATAACATAGCAGTAGGCCCAGTCAAGGGAAGTAGAATAGTACCTACATATTGTCTTTTTAGTATTTAATAAAATATTGTTAATACAAAAATTGCTAAGATCATATCAGAGTGTGGATTAGCAGTTTTGAGAAAGTTGAGAAAAAATATTTGACTTCATTTGTTTTCTACTTATTTGGTTTGTACACTTTGGACACCCTGTTTATACAGGGTGGGCCATTAGTGTGAGAAAGCAAAATAACTTTCTCGTTATTCATAATACAGAAAAAAAGTTTATATAAAAGTTGTCCAGAATAAAAAAACCTAAAGGATAAAATTAATTTGAGATACACAGGGCGATGAGTAGAAACGGGACACGCCAAATAATAAATTTTTTAAATGGAACACCCTGTATATTTTTAAACGTATGGATTTCTGAGAAAATTCTGTATATGGTTATAATTATAGTTATATGGCTATAAACACTTTAACATTTTAGTGCGGAGTTGCCAAGTTATGTAGAAAATTATTCAAATATTGGAAAAAACATGACCTCAAAGATGTTGTTTAACTTTCAACTACTAACACTTGGAGTAAAAATATTTGACAGAGTTATAGGCAATTGTTAGGCAAAGACTCCTATTTTAGCTAATATCGATATTTTATACAGGGCATTTTTTATAATTTACGATCATTTTAGGAAAGTTCAAACTTGATTTTCTAAAATTTTTCAAATGGAACACCCTGTATTTAAATTTTCTAGAAATAATCGTTTTATAAAAAATGCCCTGTATAAAATATCGATATTAGCTAATATATGAGTCTTTGCCTAACATTTGCCTATAACTCTGTCAAATATTTTTGCTCCAAGTGTTAGTAGTTGAAAGTTAATATAACTTTTTCGTGGTCATGTTTTTTCCAAAATTCGAAGAATTTTCTACATAATTTGGCAACCCTGCACTAAAACGATAAACTGTTTATATTTCCATATATAAGGCTTTTTTTCACGACTGAATATTGGTGAATATCTGACTTGTAGTTACTATTTCCATCTCTTTTGATCTTAATTATCATATGGTAGTTTAAATCTCTTCTTTAACTCATACTACACATACTACAACATACGACTTCACTCGCGAAAAAAGCCTGTAGAATTTTCTCGGAAATCCATACGTTTAAAAATATACAGGGTGTTCTATTTAAAAAATGTAACATTTGGCGTGTCCTGTTTTTACTCATCATGTATCAAATTAATTTTGTAGTTTAAGTTTCTTGATTCGGTATAACTTTTATATAAACTTTTTTCTGTATTATGAGTAACAAGGGAGTTATTTTACTTTCTCACACTAATGGCCCACCCTGTATATTTTTGGTACCTTGAGGTAAGATACAGATACTTAAAATACAGAAATATATTAATTAATGTATCATGGCTCAATTTTGTTTTGGTGTTTGTCCAAAATTATATAATTATCAGAAACAGCAATAGGAGAGAATGTTTTTGAAGGTTTGTATATTTTTTATGATTTCCATATATTTTTTTATACCTTTAAAATCAATTTAAAGTAATGTAAAATGGTTTAAGAGCATAAAATAATTATTTTTGGTTCTCTTTTTGGTACAAACATTTTTTAACAGGTTTACTGGACATTAGGCGCAGATGGCGCAAAAATCCCTTCCAACTGGCCAGCAATTTTCTCGACAAAATTCAACATGAACACACCTATGGACCTAATATACGATAACGAGACATTTCACACGTACTTTTCTGTAAGTTTCAAACAACACATCTAATTTAGAATGAGATATTTCTCCTAAAAAAAAAACAACTGTGACATTAAACATATTCACCATTTTAGAGTTCCCCTCCCTCATTCAGCCCGGTGGGCCGCACAGACGACATAGACGCTCTGACCAACGTTATAAATCACGCTGAAAAATTCGTGTATATCTCAGTGATGGACTACTTCCCCCTTATGATTTACACTGCCAAAATAAAATTTTGGCCAGTCATAGACGACGCTATCAAGACGGCGGCCATAAACCATAAGGTTAAGATTAAGATGTTGATAAGTTGGTGGAATCACTCGAGGCCATCGGAGGACTATTTTCTGAGATCGTTAGCTACTGTTAATAAGGCATATCCTGGGGTGTCAATAGAAGTGGTGAGTAAGAATTTGAGATACTTGTAGCGTTTTCATTTAAATCTCCCTCGCGTTATTCATGGATTTTTGGTTCTATACTAATCACATTTTATACTGCCGTTGCTGGAATTACAAAGAAATAGCAATATTTCCAAATTCCACGATTTTGTGCATTTCATAACAGTTGTATGGAATCGTCTACTCTATCACAAAAAAAGATATATAAGGCATTCCAGTTTAGTAAATGAGTTTTTACCAATGCGTTGAAATTCTTTGAGTACAATTTTACGGGAGTTTTATTACAGTAATTAATTAGATGTTTCTTTGTCAACAATTTATGAAAAATTGAAATAGACTTCAAGGAAAGAGGGGGCAATACTCTTAAGAAAATGTTTATATGTTCTAATCTAAACGAGATATCTGAAATCATTAGATCCATGGGCTGCATTACTCAACAAATTGATCAAGGTTGTCACAAATCGCTATCTTTGTAGCACCATTTCACATGTTAAAGTAAATAGGAATTTGTTGGCTAAACTTAAAACTTAAGGCAACAGAGCACAAACCATAATAGACTTATACCAGACTAACTGTAATAACAAATGAGGGGCTAAACGTTCTCCAAAATTTGTACACCAATTTAGAAATGCAACTATTACAAATAGTATAGTTGTTACGATGTCAATTGGAACCTGTAAATCTTAAAGCACAGGACCGTATGCACTTCACCTGAAATTTCTTCCTATGCTTTGACCATGATGTGTCTCATAATTTATACTCGAATAGCAATTGGGCGAGTCTGGTATTGGTAAAGTAGTTCGCCTGATGTAGAATTGACGGCGGTGCGCTAGTCATCAAAGCAAACCTGTATTGGTCCACTAGGTCGTAAATAATTTTTTTGTATGGTACACGGGTTCACTTAGCTTTGCTGCTTTGCCAGTGCAGTGCAGAGTATTGCCTGGCGGTATATGTTGTTGGTATAATACATATTATTAGTTAATAGTTGATATTATTTGTTCATATCGTAACTAGTAAAGGGTAATAGTTATTAAAATAAATGTTACATGTCATTATCTAGTAATTTAGCGTGGCTCTCTGGAGACTCTTTGAAGCGGGGGATAACTCAGGAAAATCCCCAAATAGTGGAACCAGTTTTTCTCGAAAGTATCGAAACAAATTCAGAGTTTAAAAACAAAGATTTACACGTAAAAAATCAACGAATTATATTAAATATATATGAATGTTTCAAAATTGAAAATAGTGAACAGTGTGATAAAAAAGTTAGGAAACGGTTTAACAAATTAACTAAGATATCAAAAACGACAATTTATCCCGTAATTAAAGAAGGATTGATTACGGTACAAAGAGGAAACGGAAAAATACAAAATTAAAGCAAATTGACGATTTTATCAGATGTAATGCGGCGCACAATTTATAATATGTATAAAGAAAGTAAAGTTCTTACTTCAAACATGATTCAAGATAAATTAAGCGATTATCCTAATTATAATTATAAATCTTTAGATATTTTATGACATGCTTTATTACAATGCGATTTTAAACATAAAAAACTTGACAATGGTAATTATATGGTAATATAGCTCGGAATATAGTATATCTAGACGAGACAGGGCTAAATTTTTCTGGACGTCTATGGATTCCGTAGAATTTATGAGTTAAATGTTTTTATGCGGTTCCAATTGAGATAGTAACAATTACTATAACTACATATTTAAAACTATTTTTAACTAGGAATATACTTATCACTTTTTTCATTATTATAACTATAGTAGGATCATATTTGACGCAAAGTAATAAAACATTGCCTGTCAAGGGATCCAGTGCAGTACGGTTTTAAGGGGTTTAGAAATTGAATAATTTCTTTATGCATTATGAAGGGATCAGTTCACGTCTGGCACCCCTGTTTATACAAAAATTCCTTTATTCTCATAAACTATTTATTTCAAATGTAATTTATTATAGATCCAATTTGTTTTTTAAATTCCACATATGTACTACTTTTACTTCTGTACGTGCCACTGTTGTTTACTTGTTTTTTGGAGGTGGTCTCTGATTTACGTCAGGTTAGTATTTGACGTATAACCGACCACTTTGTACACTCGATGCACCTGGACGACTACAGCAACTACCAGAACACAATGCGTATGATGTGGTATTTCAGATTTTACATTCAATTTCATTTTAAATTTGAAATGGTTCATATTACGCATCCTAAAAATGATGACGCGATTTTCCTTTTATAAAAGACCGACCATTTTTTGCTCTACTTTGTTTGCATCGAATACAATCCTACTATAAATTTAAATGCCTGTCAGAATTATTACCAAATTCTCAAAGGCTGTAATAAAAAAAAATGTAGTAAAGTTATTCTAAAATTTATTATCTGAATTAGTTTTAATAGGGAAATATTTTACTTCTTTATTTAATTTCAGAGATAAAGACAATATTTTTTATAAGCATTGCCTAGATAGCTAAATAGAATGTTGCTATAATTCCTGGGTAAATGGTGAATACTACATCATGACATTTGTTATAACAGAGAATTTGCTATTAAATTTGAAGTATAGTGCTGGCAAAAAATTGTTTGCAGCCATTAATTTATTCCAAGATATAAAAATTAAAATATTGCTAATTAAGATGTAGAGAACATTAAAATAGAGGTTTTTAATATTACAGAAAAAAAGTGTAAATTATATTGTGTTTATTAATTAAACATACAGAAAAATGAAAGGAAATAGATTCAAATTCTTAATATAAAGTAATATAAAAAAAGTAACAAAAGATAAATAGTAAAGCGAGTATCAACTCAATCAAGAAAAATTTGTTTGGTTTAATAAAAATAATGATTTGTGATTTCGTGATTTTCATGCGGCAAAGTTTATTCAGCTTATCCCTATTTTCCAGAACTGGACAAATACATATTAAAATAATCAAATTATATTAAAAATTCCAGAAATAATTTCAATTGATGCATATAAAAATAGTTATTTATTAATTAATGATTAAAGTCAGAGCTTGGCCAACAAACCACCTTAAGAATAAAACGACAACCCAATTGAAATCCTTAAAATAAATAAGTTTGTTAAGTAAAAAATTGATAAATGTAAATCTGTTTTAGGCATAAAAGGAAAACTGATAAAATTTGATAAATAAATATGTACTCAAAATATTTTGCAGTGTTTGATAATTTAAATATTTTTATTATAGCTTATCCTTGCAGTCGAATGATAAAAGTGATAAGAATTAAAGATAATTTTGATAATAAAAAATAATAAAACAGTTACAAAAGCATAACGAGTGACGTTTTGTATGTGATTTATTAAGTATTGTGTGCTTTATTCTAATGCAATTTTTTTTTAGTGAAAGCTAATAAACGAAAACTAAATCATTTTTTTTAAATCTATTTTTAATATTAGTGCACCTAATTCCTTTATGTTGGAGAACGAAAAATATTCATACATATAAAAAGTCACTATTTCACTTTTTATTTAATAAATTCATATTATTTAGTAATTGAGTTGAAATATGACAAAAATACTCAATTTAAATGTTCGTATTAAATTATACTTACCAATTAAGTAGAAAGGAAATTATGTATGTCAGGGGATCCCCCTGTAAGGTTTGTAGGTTATGTTGTTCAAACACATATTTAAAAAAAAACACTAAACAACAACTCACTTCCATTACATATCTGTTTCTTCAGTCTTATTTCATATATTGCCCAGTATTATTTTCATTTTTGAATGATTTTAACCACCATTCTAAAAAATATGCTTAATCTGTCTCTAAATATATCTGATATCTTTCACATTTGAAGGCCAAATGCTTGAACAAAATTTGTCAACAATTTGTGATTATTTGTATTCTAAAAATAGCTTAACAACATGCAAATGCAAATGTCTTTGAGTTGATTCATTATGTTTAGTCAAATAATAAACATATATAATTATAAAATAATTAATTTTTAACTGCCAACAATACAATTCTATTATGTTCATGAACAAATTATTTAATTATTTACTTACCAATTGATAGAATGTATAGAAACTAGAATTGAAAATCAGGGAATCCCCTGTAGTGAGATTTCTAGGTTATGTTATGTTTTATGTTGTTTGAAAGTATGTATGTATAATACCTACTCCGAGTATAATACCTACTTATATATGTATAAACTCTGAAAAAATGATTCACTTCCATTAAAAATATTTCTTCATTTTTATTACACGAGTTAGGGTTATTATTTAGTACTATTTTCGGGCGCGGCGGTAGCCGAAGCGGCCAAGGCTTGCCTACTGAGGTGAACCAGGGCTGTGCGGCAAAACCGTAGTGGGTTCGAATCCCGCACGCGGCGGGAAAATTCGAAGGAATTTTTCTGTCATACCCATGGATGTTTGTGATTGTTAAGGTGTAGGGTAGTATGTAAGTTAGCAGGCAAAATGGGCCAAGCATGGCCTAATTGCTAGTAAGCTTCATAACCTTTACCTTTTTTTTTTTAGTACTATTTTCAATTGTGAGTAATTTTAACAATCATTCTAAGAAAGCAGCCTAAATGGACTTCTTCACTTCAAAGCAGATTAATTTGAACTGAAGTGACAAAAACCAAAACCACAAGGCTCTTTATTTGTGATATTTATATCTTTTTGAAGGTCAACGATTGTTTGGACAAAATTTATCAATAACCAGTGGAAATTATTTGAATTTGCATTGGGTAAAATTAAATGATTGGTACATATACAGGGTGTCCCGTTCATGTTTAAAAATAACTTGTGTGCAAGTTCCTCATGGGAAAATAATAGAGGTGGTTCATGTGTTGAAGTAGTTACTTTCCAAATGGTTTTCCTTAATTATCTTTGCATCTAAAGGTAAAAATGTCAAAATTTGTACACGAGTAAACATCAACTGTGCGTTAAGAATAATGTGCAAATGGTTTCTTTCTGAAAAGCAGTGTCACCGATACAACTAATTGGAGGGGTACAATCTAAAAAAATATGAAATATGTTAAAAGTCAAAATTTATTATATTTCTAAATGGTTCAATAAACTCCAAAGCTTATTACAAAAAAGGTATATTTGCCGAAATTCGGTAGCATGTACCATTTTCGAGAAAAATGAGGTTGCATTTTTTTGCTCACATAAAGCGGCACAAGTACATTAACAAAATATTAAATTGAAAGAGGACTTAACTATTGAATGAGCTGAAGACATTTAGCTACCAACAGTATTTGCATTTGAGACAATAATTTTAACATCACATGAAACAGTTAAATTGTAAAACATTTTATTAACTAAAAAAAAAAAAATAAAAATTATTTTAAGTTTCAGCTTGTAAACTAACATTTAAAAAAGTAAATCAAAATAAACGGATTATGGTATTTAATTATCTAATAATCACTAATTTTAGATTTTGTAAACTACTACAATACCATTACTAAAATAAACAATTATTGAACGGACTGAATTGTTGATTGATGGACATGAATGCTTAAAAAAAGTGATAAGAACAGAAAAATATTAGGAAACAGACTCGGAGACATACAGAACAAAACAGCTGCACAATTAAATAAATGGCCAAAACTCGAAATACTACACTAAATGCTGAAATCGTCCCTTATTTTCTTCTATGCAACTTAATTTTTCTTGAGCCATTTGCATATTTCTTAACGCACAGTTGATGTTTACTCGTGCACAAATTTTGACATTTTTATCTTTAGCCGATTTAAAGATAATTAAGGAAAACCATTTGGAAAGTAACAACTTCAACACACTGTATCTCGAAAACAGGGTGTCTAAGAAAAAAACTTTACATGAACTATCCCTATTATTTTTCCATGAGGAACTCCCACACAAGTTTTTTTGAAACATGAATGGGACACCCTGTATAGGTGTATTATGTTAACAATAAAATATATTTTAATAAAATGTTGCACGTTTACAATTTTAAATAAATTGCAGGAAATTATACTAATAATTCCTTTTAGAGACGTTTTATTGTGCCTGCGAACAAGGAGCAACAAAAGATCCCTTACGCAAGAGTGAACCACAACAAATACATGGTGACTGATAATACGGCTTACATAGGAACCTCCAACTGGTCTGGGGACTACTTTACTGACACAGCCGGCATAGCTTTCGTGTTACATGACCCAGTTTTCGACAGAAACTCTAGCCATACCACGATACGCAGTCAATTGCAGGGGGTTTTCGAAAGGGACTGGAATTCCGAGTATGCTTATCCCTTGAACCTTACAGAATTTATATTTTTATAATGAAGGTTTGGCTTTGGTTGATTTTTTTATCTAAGTAATTTTATCATGTCTATATTTATTACAAAAAAAATTATAATAATTTATATACAGGGTGTCCCATAATTAGTGTGCAATACTTTAGCAGTATGCAAATATAAGATTATTTTTTCGTATAAACAAGGGTCGAAAAATGCTTTGATGGAATTTATGAGGAAGTATGGACAAATAAAGTGGTATATTTATCAACGGTTTAAATAAAAGGACAACGCACGAGGTCGAGAGTTGGCATCGTACTAAGCTTTTTATTTTTACGCTGTGGCTAATACAAAAAGTAGTGCTGTACACAATAACAGCTGTTGAGCAGAGATGGCGCCAGTGACAAACACATTTTATTGTTGTTTTTGCATCTATCACTAACATGCTTCCTAAGGGAGGCCCTTAGAAGGGGCCTTAGGAGATTATATTTTTCAAAATATTTCCAAAACCAATTAACGTATCTATGAATTTTGGTATGTTGGACGCATTTTACACATGAGCCCCCCTGCCTGTGACACCCTCGACTAAAATTTTTAAACAGTTTTTGTGTAGTTCGTTAGAACATTCATTGAGTGTCCAACATACCAAAATTCATAATGATAAATGATACGTTAACTGGTTTTGGAAATATTTTGAAAAATATGATCTCCTGAGGCCCCTTTTAGGGGGGCGTGACTCCTTTAAGAAGCATTTAACAACCCTTGTTTATAGGAAAAAATAATCTTATTTCTGATCGTATAATCTACTGCTGAAGTATTGCACACTAATTATGGGACACCCTGTATAGGACATTTATTTGGTAGCTACATGGAATTTAAAACAGTATTTTTATGTATAATTGTGGGTGATAAACAAAATTTTCATATAAAAATAATCTGCAAATAACTTTCAATAGATTTCTCTTATTTTTTTTTTCATAAAATTTACTTTCATTACCTGAAAGAATATCATTATTTCTTTCTATTTGATTCTTGAACTATATTTTTTTACTACACTTTAGAATTAGATTAATTATTTTTCCAAAATTGGATGAATAATATTCAGTGAAAGTGAATAGGATTGAATTGATTGATAACATAATTGCTCATAATGTAAAAGAATTTTTTTAAGAATATAATTTAGTGTCCTTTTTACAATATATTTACAAAATAAAATTTAATCCTTTTTTAATGTAAAAAATTGTTTTAAGTCTTTTATTGGCAAAGGCTAACGACAAAACTAGGTATACAGTGTAGAACAGCCAAATGGAATAAGTTCAGTATCTCAATTATTGTGCATATTGATTCTATGATTTTGCAAAAATTAGCAGTCTGCTTGACAAAATTCAACAAAAACATAAAAACTTACAAGGTTTTGTTCTTGCAGGCTAGCAAAAACAATTTCAGTCTTCGTTTTCAAAATTATCAACTAAAAAGAAGATATAAAAATATCAAAATTCTTCATAGTTCAAAATTGACGTCTCGGGATTTTTTTTATAAATATTCACAATAATTGAGATGCTGAATTTATTCCATTTTACTGTTCTACACTATAAGGAAAATTGTTTTTGTTGTATAGTCCGACCAAATTACACTTGGAAAAAAAATCGTTACCTGGACTTTTATAAGTGGAAATGGTAAAAGGGCTTATAATAAACCTAAAAAAAATAAATGCGTGACCAGGGGTGGCGGAGAGTTGATTTAGGGGTTGAAAAGTTGTGGAAAATTGTATTATTGGGATTTCTGGCGAAAGTTGACGTCAAACAAAAAAGTATCCAGTACAAAAGTTGTAGATCAATGCAAAAATCTATAACTTTTGTAGAGGTCACTTTTTACGATAACCTCAAAATTTCCGAGAAAATTGCGAAAAACAGGTTTTTTTTATGATTTTTCGCTTTTTATTTCTCATTTCCGCAAAAATAATTTAATTTTCACGAAACTTAGTGAAAGTATACCTTTTTGTGTCTTAAATAAACACAATTTTTTTTAAATAAAAAAATCAAGAAGTTTCAGACATTCATTTTTTCCGGTCTGAAATACTTTTTTTTTCAAAGAAAAATTCTACTTCGAAAAATCATTGTACAGACAGAGTTCTGTCGGTAATAATTTTTTCATTTTGACATACTTTTTGGCGAAATAAAAAAATCTGTAATCACAGTTCAAAAATATCCTCAAAAAAGCAAAAAAAATAAAAAATGACGCAACAATGAATTTCTCAGTAAGTGTTGATAATTTGTTTAAATTAAAAAAAAAAAATAAAACAAAAACTGATTACATCATTCAATTGTACGGAAAAAATACAAAAAAACAATCTTATTGTTTGACCCAAAGTTTATTTTTGTACAGTATTGCTATAAACATAAGTCGAATAGTGAATAAATAAAAAAAAAATAATGGAATAGCATTAGGATTACCGTTTCCTACATTCTAATGCTATTCCATCCTTATCTTGGACACACTGTATATCTATGAATTCATCAAAATTTAAGAAAAATAAGAACACTAATCTATTCTACGGAAAAAAATTATTTATTTTACTTATTCAGTATTTGATTTATGTTTATAGCAATACTGTACAAAAATAAAGTTTTAAATCAAACAATGAGATAGTTTTTTTTGTATTTTTTCCGTACAATTGAATGGTGTAATCAGTTTTTGATTTTTTTTAAATTTAAACAAATTATCAACAATTATCGAAAAATTCATTGTTGCAAGTCATTTTTTATTTTTTTTTGCATTTTTGAGTATGTTTTTGAACTGGAAAAAATGAATATCGGAAACTTCTTGATTTTTTTATCTAAAAAAATTTGTGGTTTGTTTTGTTAAAATTCAATTAATTTTTGTTTAAATGAGAAATAAAAAACAAAAAATCAGAAAAACCTGTTTTTCGCATTTTTCTAAGAAATTTTGAGGTTATCTTAAAAAGTGACCTCTACAAAAGTTGTTGACTTTTGCATGATCTACAACTTTTATATTGGATACATACTTTTTTATTTTACGTCAACTTTCGCCAGAAATCCCATTGATACAATTTTTCACAACTTTGCAACCCCCCAAATCAATCCTCCGCCGCCCCTGCTCACGCATTTATTTTTATTTCATTTATTATAAGCCACTTTACCATTTCCACTTATAAAAGTCCAGGTAACAATTTTCTTTTTCCCTCTAAATGAGTAATTTCGATCAGTCTAGTAGTGCACTGTAATTTTTTTTCTATTTTTTTACGACTGTTTTTGCTAATTATTTTGTACATAACTTTAGTAAAGTACATGTGATGGACAGGTACCAAAATTGGTGCTTTTAACTTGTAAAGTCGGCGCCACACGATGTGTCAAACGTTGGATCCAATGTGGGAACCAACGTTGGAATCAAAATCAGCACACTAGCATTTGGCAAATGCTTCTGTCACACTGTGGGGTGAATATTGGAATTTATTCAGATATTATTGGAAAAACTAGAAGAAATAAATAAAACTTGTTTCATTAATAGTTTATTAGTAACAAATATGACACATTAAATACGCACGAATGGAAACTTTTTATCCGATTACAAAAAGTATAATTTGATTAATTTTTCTACTTTGTTATTTGTAATTTTATAATAATGATAATAAAATATACAAACCTACTGCGACCAGAAAACAAACAACAATCACGAAACGGCAAGCATGTCAAACGTTCATATAGCCATTCATGTATTGTTGCTTCCAACATCATAAGCACCCTTTGATGCAGGTCAGGACGTTCCAAGCGTCCAACGTTGGACACATGAAATTTCATGTCATACGGCTACACGATGCGGCAAATGTTAATGTGTCCAACGTTGGAAGACGTTTGACACATCGTGTGGCGCCGGCTTAATACAACTTATGTGATAAGCCTTGTCATTTTTTCGTGTTAGGAATTTTGTTTTGAGTGATGTCAGTTTTTTGCCGTTTATGTTTACTCTTTTTTTTAGTAGTATTTTCTAGATAATGCATATTCATGAAAGAATCAATTATCTTAAGTGATATGTTATATTAAGAAATGTATTATTGTGCATTGTTTTATGGTGTTTCGTATAGAAAAATGTAAAACAGTTGTCTAGATAAGTGTACAGCACAGTTACGTTTAAATTATTTTAATTGTCGTACATGTAAGTATATCCAATTTTATTTCAGGAAAGGAGGGCCTAAATATGATTTGTTTAAATTTGCACAAAATATAATCTACAAATTTTTATTTATATTAATGTGTGCCTTAATAATAAATAAATTGTATTAATTTCAATGTTGCGTTTTTTTATGTTTCCAAGTGCATTTTTTAAATAGTAGCAAGTAACACAATGAATTAAAAGTAAAAAAATTTACAGTGTACCAGAGTTGACACTTGGGGGTTTTTAATATTTCCCAAAAAGATAGAAAAACTGTTGAAGTGTTACCAGCTCGATTTTATGAGATTCAGGGTATTATTAAATTATTCAATTTTGGTAGTTTTCTATGACGCTTTTTTGTTTGTGAAAATATTTTATATTTTTTAAAAAGTTTTTTTACACAGTATTTGTTACTATAATCATTATAATTGAAATATTATAGAAAAATATCATATTCACAGCTGATTTCTACATAAAAAACTGAAAACAACCTTCTTACAAAAATCAAAAAGAGTGTCACAGCGGTTAAAACTGGAAATCGTTAAACGATATCCATCAACTCCGAGTTGCTATACACACAAGCCATTTTTGACATTAACTACTAAAAAACTATTGTAAACACCACAGATAACGGGTAAACACTAACGCAACGACGATTGTAAAATCGGATTTTAGTATTCGGAGTCGTTGAGGCCACATGGCTCTCCACGCGTATTGCAAATGACGCTAGAGACTACAGTTGTCCAGCTATGTAATAGTTGAAAGTACTACACCTTCAATAATTTTTTTCTTGTAAACTATAAAAATTTTTTTATGATACTAACTCCATTTCTTATCTATTCCCAAATTTTTTTTTTGGATTAGTTGTGAATCGCCCTGTATAAAAATTTGTCGGGTCATATTTAATATTAGCACGTAATAAATATCTTGTTTTTTTTTCTCAAAAATATATTTGAACCACTTATAGTAAGGTGTACACAAGAAATATGCACTATATTGAAATATTTATCGATTTCTTGGAAAATTTTATTCCCGATAAATATTTGAGCACAAATAAGAAAAAATTTTTCTAAAACCAAATTTTCTGTTCAATCTAGTTAGAATCAGTTTTTGTTTTGATCCTAATATCAAGAAACTCAAGAAAGCGGTTTTCAAGATTTCAAGCCAACGTGATCAGTCAGTGATTGGGAAAACATTGGAATTCATGATCTCATTGCACCATAACTCCAATAACCTGTTATTTGAACGTTCGTTGATTCTACAATCAAGGAAATACTATTATGTTTTTTCAATGTAGATACAGAAAAAAAGCCTGGGTGACTATGTAAGTATATGCAAGTTTGTATGCACCAGGTCATGAGTCTGCAAGAGCTTGCATATACCGAATTAATATATTATGGCGGAGGTGCAATATGACTCAATTTCTGAGAGTTTTGTGATTGTACATCCTTATACACCCAAAGTTATGGGGTTAATGGTTTATGGAAGCCTGCCAATAACATTCATGCAGTTTCAATACCCCTGATGCATATTCCCAGTTTCATGGTTCTACACCAGGGATGCATAAACCCCATGCGGCCCTTCATTAATTTGTCAAATACTTTTTTTATTGTATTTAATTACATTTAAATTTACTGCCATTATGGTGCAGCGACATCTACTAGATAGTAGAATTAGAGGTTACTCTAATTGTGTTTTCTCATACAGTTTCCTTAATTATTTTATGGTCTGTGGTTTCCGAGTGTATCGTTTGCTGCACCAGCTACAGATGGCGGTACTTACAGAATAAAACCCTCTTATTTACTCTCATATGATTAAAACTATAAAATTTAAAAAACTAAACGCGCCAATGCCGCCAATCCAACCATACCATAAACATAGAACAAGAATCTAAGTCATAGATTACCATGGAGCATGTAGTATATGCTAGAAGTAGATTACAAACAATTATTGTCTCCGTTCTGTGACAATACCAAACCAAGCAGCAGCCACGGTCCGTAAAAAACGGACCGTGAACAGCAGCAACGCAACCGTTTTCTTCTTCCATTTTTCGGCACCAAAAAAACGTATAATAGAGCCCTTTTCTTTTATTCATAACGCGTTACGATCCGATGGAAACCAATCAGGTTGCTTGGTTGCTAGATTTCGAATCGTAACGCGTTATGATTCTGAAATCATGAATAAAAGAAATGATCCTAGGTCATAGACCATAGACCACGTAGACATTTTATTTCATCTCTTTCTAAGTAATATTCTTTCTCTCTTTGTAGAAAGTTTGTCCTTGACCTTTATTTGTTAAATTGAAAAGTGTGGTTATCATCGTTTGAATTTAAATTTGGAAATAATTTTTAGATATGTAGAAAGTGATTTGTCATGCATGTAGATAGGTACACTAAAATGTTATTGGACACGAAATAATGTGAGTTTAATTGAATTCGTCATATAGTTGATGAGAGAAAAAATTGAAGATATATTTACTATATTACTATTTATATAATGAGAATATTCTAGTGATTATTTAACTGAAAAATGTTATAGAACCATCAAAATGTTCCGGGGAAAACCGCTGTTAAAATACGGATTAGCGGCTGGGATTGCAGGAGGCACACTTTTAAGTTTACATGGAAATCAGTACCAATTAGATTCAATAGGAATCGTTAGGTTAAGTCGAGCAGCATTCACAGTATTCCAGATTGGAGTTATTTACAAAAAAGATTTGTATGGGAAACATTTGGATAAATCCTCTAAAGAATACAGTGAATTGAAGTCGATATGTCATACTAGAAGTGCCCAAAAACTGTTGCAGTTATGTTGCACAAACAAGGGAGTTTATATTAAAGTAGGGCAACACATAGCAGCATTAGATTATTTGTTACCTTCGGAATATGTTGACACTATGAAAGTGTTACACTGTCGAGCACCCACAAATAAAATTGAGGATGTCTATAAAGTTATAAAAGAGGATGTAAAGAAAGATGTAAGCTTTTTTTATATACAATTTTGAGGGAACTTGTTAAACTCGATATTTCTTTTTGCAGCCATTTGAAATATTTGATACAATCGAACCTGAACCCATAGGAACAGCTTCTTTGGCCCAAGTGCACAAAGCTACCTTAAAAGATGGCTCTGTAGTAGCTGTAAAGGTACAACATCCTTACGTACAAGGAAATGCCAAAGTAGATATGAAAACTATGGAATACTTAGTAAAATTGATGAGTATAGTTTTTCCAGAATTTAAATTCCAATGGCTCATAGATGAATCTAAGAAAAACATACCACAGGAACTGAATTTCGCACAGGAAGGTCGAAATGCAGAGAAAATGGCCAAAATGTTTGAAAACATAGATTGGTTGCATATTCCTAGGGTCAGGTAAGGGATTGTATATTTAGCATATTTATGTTTATTGAACTTTTTTTATAGATGGGATTTAACAACGCCAAGAGTCCTAACTATGGACTTTGTTGAAGGAGGGCAAGTTAACGATCTAAAGTACATACAAGAAAATTATATTGATCCACGAGAGGTATGCGATAAAATAGGTAAACTTTATTCAAGAATGATATTTTTACATGGCTTTGTGCATAGCGATCCTCATCCCGGGAACATTCTGGTTAAGAGAAATAAAAAAGGGCAATGCGACATTATTTTACTGGATCACGGATTATATGCGGTGAGTTTTGAGAAAGAAATTTGACAATTCGAAATTGTATGATGATTTTTCAGACCTTAAAAGAAAATTTTCGAGTAGAGTACGCAAATTTATGGTTAAGTATTTTAAATCGAGATCGTACAGCTATGCGCAGTCACAGTAAAAATTTGGGAATAGAAGGGAATGCTTATGGTTTGTTCACTTGTATGATTGCGGGAAGAACTTGGGATAGTATACAGAGAGGTATCGATAGGTAAGTTATTGAAAACATAAAAAAAAATTGTCACTAGGGATCGACTGATGTTTTTTTAACTAATACTGTCGGCAAACTTTGGTCATTATATGGGGTGTTTACAAACTTGGAGATTTATTTCTTATAGGAAATATGTCTCGATAAAAAAAGCTGATTGCAAAAATTTATCTTAATAAAAAATGCCATAGTTCGAGTACCGCAGACTTATTTAAAGTTAAGCCGAGTGACACTGCTTGTCAATTATTTCATTAAGTCCTATACCTGAAACAATTTCCACTGGTACCGACTGGCCTTTTTATTTTAATATCACTGAATATTGTATGAAAGTGAATGTCACTTGAGTTTCGGTATATACAGGGTGTCATGCTTAAATGTAGCCTGTACTTAATTTCTTTATTTTTTACTTGATTCCAACATTTTTTTTTAGAATGTAAGGTAAAAAAAACTATCTAACTGTGATACCGCTGTTTATTAATGCAATATGCAGCCAACTAGGACGCGTTTTTTTACGTCAAAACAGCTAATTGGTATTTGCGATTTTTTTTTCCAAAAATCTAGTTTACGTATTCTCATTCAGTATCCCTTAAAACGTCTTATCACCAAGTTTCATCAAATTCGACACATCTTCAGGTGAGCACTACATGATGTCTTAGTTAGTGATGATTGACCCGTTCACGTTGTATGACCCTATCGCTCATCATTCATTACAGCACAAACTTAGCAGAGCAGGTGCTGATACAGAATAGCTGAATATACACGAACAGTTTTATCGACCGATTTGGCCGATTTATCGTTGAATTGCATAAATTATAAAGACAAAACTGCTAGTTTGGGTCATCAAGAAAAATTGTAAAACATTTTGGAGGATAAATTGTTGCCAAATAATTTGGAGCGATTATTTTATCACGTATACTAACACAGCGATCAAACGGCAGATAAATCTGTCGTGAATTATCGGGCAATATTTTGTAGAGCGTTATCTGCATGTTAGTATGTGTTGGAGGAAATATCTGCACGATATGTTGTTACGGTTTATTTTCATTTAGATATCGGTAACTAAAAATTAAAATAATATCTTGTATCTATGTAGATATCTATTTTATAGTTTTTATAGTTCGCGTTATTTTTGTTGGTAAAGTCTATTATTATTAATGAGGAGTTAAAAAATAAATAAATAAAAAAAAGGATAATTAGATTAAATTATTCTGTAATATTTTTCGATTGTTTAGTCAACTCTTGAAATAGTGCCTCGAATAGAATTTATCGTTTTTGGTCATGTTTTTGTAGAACACTCAAGCCAGCTACACTTACGAGTAACAAATAAATTGCTCTGATTTTTTGGACTTCCCAAAGATCAAAGATGACCGAATAATCTTACCAAATTTAGAGATAAATCTTTGTGAATGACACAGACATAACGAATAAAGTGTCAAATAAACTTTGTACAATAATTCGATTCAATAAAACTTCGCATTAGTGTCCTCTCTAAGATTTGTCTGAAACGATTTATCTGACGATTATTTGGTACAATTTATCGCTCCAATAAGACTTTGCGTGTATATTCAGCTAATGAAAGACACGAAAGATCGACTCTATGATCTATTGGGTATCGGTACTCTGTAAGTCGGTATTGTATGTTTGTGATCTTAAATCTAAATATTTTAAAAGACATAATTTTGGAACAAGAGTTACATTCTGCCTTATCAGCAACACTGTTCAGTTAAAAAATTCTATACCCTACTTCCTTTTTTGTTTTTAGACATTTTCAAAATTTTAACCAACAGTAGAATATAATACAACTAGCGAACTTGCCTCAAAGACTGCTGTTATCAAACAATATCTGTATTATATTTTTGCATAAGCATTAAGCAATACATTTTCTGACATGAGTTACATTTATAAGAAGTGTTGGGAATTAAATAATGCATTTGTTTCTTTAAAAAATTACAAATGTAAACAATATATGGCAAGAAATCTATCAAATATCGATAGTACACATGCAGGTGACAAACCGTGACAAAAAAAGGCATTTTATCGAACACAAACTGACGGAACGGAACACCGAATGGTGCAGATTGGATTTGATACTATTTTGCTATCGTTCATGAATGGCTTATTTTAACAATTGACCTGGATAATCTGGGTCACAAAAATAAGCGAATCTTCCCGTCATTAGTCCTAGTTGGCCGTGTATTGCATTAATAAAAACTATAACAAAAATTCTAAAAAAATTTTTTTAAATTGTCCAAAAAATAAAGAAGTTACAGGCTTTTATCACATTTAAGCGTGACACCCTGTACATTATAATGTAGATAAAATACTGTAATACTCTTTCAAAGGCACTTGACTGGTCAGGCAGGTGGCAACATCAAATACTTACTGTGGTATGACCTGTCATTTCCCCTCAACTCCAGCAGTTCTCAATATGTTCGCAGGTTTTTTCTTAAGATCAGTATCTATTTATTATTTTAAATTTTATGTGCGACATATGGTTTAATAGTAGAAACAAAAATTGTACTACGAAAAAGTAATACGCATTTCAAAAAACCAAATATTTGACATTCGTCTAAGTTGTTTTACTTTATTTTTAATTTGTAATTAATAATTTTTAATAAGTTTGTGACCTTTCTGCACATATTTACCAATACCTCTTCTTAATTATATAAAATATTAGAATCACTTTTCTAATTATGGAAACAAATAAGTATGGAAATATGTTTCAGAAAAAACGATTTCTCTGTATTTGATTATACACCTAACCAATGGGTGTTTTTCCAAACAAAAGTTTAACTATTTTGTTAATTTATTTTTAATCTAAAGGGGAAGCACTGAAAATACTTTTTTATTTCTGCTTCCAACTAACTCGAAACAAAAAGATATTTAGTAGCTACTTACATTTCCAGTTCTTTTTTTAAATGTATTATATCTGTATCTGTGTATCACCGTCACCGGATATGAGTAGTCGATAGAGATAATCAGCAATAATGCAGCATAAATATCGGTCGATCCCTAATTGTTGTTATTACTACTTTCACTGAAGAACACTGCAAGATTTGAAATAATTTTTAGGGAACAGTTTTCCAAGTCTGAAAAGAAATTCATGAAGCAGGCTTTCACTGGCATTTTGCCTCAAGTGTCGGAAATTCTCCAAAATGTCGATCCACAAATGTTGCTGATTTTAAAGACTAACGATTTAGTGAGGAGTATCGAACATACTTTAAGGGCAGGAACTGGGATGGGTTCATTTTGTGTTATGTCCCAGTGTTGCGTAAAATCAGTTTATAACCAGAAGTATACCAACAGCCAAACTAAAATAGAAAAAATTAAAGTATCCCTTGCCGAATTCTGGGCATTGTTAAAGATAAGGGTTTATTACATGTTTCTGAGTTTTAGGCAAATTTCTTTTTTTAGTTGATGAATATTAAAATTTTTACTCAAATATGATTATATTAAATTATTTTTTTATTAAAATATTTATACAAAATTTATAAGGTAAGTAAGTTTTAATACAATTTTAATTATTTGATGTACAGGGCGTGTAAGTGCACATTGATTTATATGTGTGCAGGTCGATAGGGGAATATGTAAAAACAAATATTTTTATTGAATAAATAGTACAATTTAGACACTGCAGAAAGTCCAAGTTTACTGTAATATTTTTGACCAATATTTAAAGAAATTTCTTGGCATTTAAAATTCAATAATACGTTATTATACAGACTACGAAAAACCGCTGTACTAGTTCTTATACAGATGTTTTTATTTTTAAATTTTACGTTCAAATTTAAAAATGTAGCCGTTTCTGGTATAATTTTGTTTATTTCAAATGTTTGTTTAAATATAATTTTTTTAGAATTAATATTGAAAAATTATTGATTTTGTACTAACAATTTATGCTTTTTCTTGCACAAAAAAAATATTCTTTAAGGTGGGGGTGCAGGATAATATTCCATTAGATTTGGAAAAAAAGTGGTATAATTTTTCAAAAATATCCACCTAAAAAAAATTTTATTCAGTAATAATTTAATACATTTTATTTAAAGGTAGCAAACTTAGAATGGCGTTAAAGATTCGTAGTCTATTTAATAAAAAATGACCTGAAGGTACATCTACAAATTGGGTATCCCTGTATTTGTTTTATAGGCCCGGAAATACAGAGTTGGACGCGACTTTTTATTTCGGCAAGCTGAATTTATCACTAGATGCTAAATATTATGTACAATAACATAATAGTTTCCACAGTCATAAAAATGGGGGAAAGATTGTCTCGTTAATTGTATAATTTTTACGTAAATTCAACGTTTTTCGCTTATAATTTTTTTCCGTTAATTTCCACCAGAAAACAGTAAAGTACTTTTTTTTTCGTCTTCAAAAGACCTACAAAACTAGTCCTCGAGCGCTAAAAAATATTAATTAGATCAAAAGTTATAAACAGAAGAACTTTATTTATGACTTTTGAATTAAACATTTATAAACTGCGTTATTATTACCAGAACGTTTTGGCATCGCATCCTCACATTCCTTATCACTGTCTAATAACTCACGAAATCTGGAATCGGTAAGTTGAATAGTTTACAAGTTATGGCCTTATTAGCACATTAACTAATTATTAGTCTGGACGATCCCGAGGATCTTCCACAATCGCACTGATTTTTTTCAAAGTAGATTTCATAATAATACATTGAAATATATCATTTTTTTTATTTCAAATTTGCAACCTGGAAAGTTTTTTATTTTTTAGCCTTAGTTGCAAAATGACGCACGCGCGTGATATAGTTATATATTATTGCATATTCGGAAAGCTTATGAAAAAATCTTTGAGATAAAAAAAAATTATTAAGATTCGTTGAAATACAACGGAGTTACAGATTGTCAAATATATTATTTTCAAGCGAATTTCGCTTTTTTAACGGCAGTAGTATGAATATTATCGTTATTTTCTTCGGATTCGCTGTCATTCGCTTCCCCCACTCTTCCGCCGCGCCACGGCAAGCCGAAAAATGAAGCGACTCACTGACTTTTGACAATATTTCTTATGCACTTAACATACCTACTTCCACAAATAAAATATTTTTATCTGGGAAAGTATTCGGGTTGCCGGTTATGACAGTAATTTTTTTTGCCGCTACCAACCTAATTTGTTTTAATTTGTTTAACAATAGGCCGTCAACTTTGACAGTCTGTAACTCCGTTGTTTTTCAACGAATCTTGACGATTTTTTTTTAACTTAAAGCTTTTCATAAGCTTTCGGAAAAATATATATATCACGCGCGTGCGTCGTATATTTCATTTTGCAACTAAGACTAAAAAATAAAAAACTTTTCCGGTTTCCAATTTTGAATTTTAAAAAAATTATAGATTTCAATGTATTATTATGAAATCTACCATGAAAAAAATCAGTGCGATTGTGAAAGATGTTCGAGATCGTCCAGACTAATATGTAATTAGTTAATTTGTTTATAAGGTCATAACTTGTAAATTATTCAACTTATCGATTCCAGATTTCATGTGAGTTATTAGACAGTGATAAGGAATGAGAGGATGCGATGCCAAAACGTTCTGGTAATAATAACGCAGTATATAAATGTTTAATTCGAAAGTCATAAATAAATTTCTTCTGTTTATAACTTTTGATCTAATAAATATTTTTTGACGCTCGAAGTCCAGTTTTGTAGGTCTTTTGAAGACGAAAAAAAAGTACTTTACTGTTTTCTCGTGGAAATGAACGGAAAAAAGTTAGAATCGAAAAACGTGAATTTACATAAAAATTATACAATTAACCAGCCTGTAAACAATCTTGCTCCCCATTTTTGTGACTGTGGAAACTAATATGTTATTGTACATAATATTTAGCATCTATAATGATAAATTCAGCTTGCCGAAACAAAAAGTCGCGAAACGGTCATTTCTCAGCTCTTTTTCCTGGCCTATTATTAGTCTGTGAAATGAAAGAAAATGGGGTGGTCTAACGTAATAGATAAATTGCAGTGTAATATGTTTGCCAGTTCAGTATAACCACTGTTTGGATCAGGATTTTGATCAATTAGAATCGCCCGCCTACAAATCTGCAAAACACTACTCTTGATTGATTGTAAAATATGTTATGGACATTGTCTTAGTCAATGCTTGACTCTTTCCGATTTTCTTTCACTTTGTGGGCTTTAGAAAGAATCTATTTGGTATTTAATATATTTTCCCATATCATTTTTAAGGTGTCTCTATTTTTGCTATTTCAAGACTCAGCATTGTGGTTTCAAAAAGTTTTAGTATTTTTTTTACAGTTTATTATACTTTTTTTTTATTAAAATTTGGTAATTTGCAAAGACGGATATTTTAATCTGACATGTTGATTTATGTAAATTTCTAATTTTCATTTTATTGATTTTATTGTTAATACCTACATCATTTAAAGATGTGTAGAAATTTGTTCTGGAATGTTAAATTTCAAACCTGTAGGTTTGAATTGAAAATAATGAAAAGAAAAATGTCAACTTAAGCCTAGGAATTTTAATAAAACATTTTTTTTGTTAATTTCAAGAATTTTTATATTCTATTGTAGGTAATAGAAATGTTTTTAATTTGTTTTTTCATAATGTTAAGTTTTATGAAGTACAAAATATATACAAACAGGTGACGGTTAATAATTTTTAAGTGTTAATAAAATGTTAATAAACTGACTAATAGTGGTATGGTTCTTATTTTTTCCATCCCAATTTTCAAATCAATCCCGATCAGTCTTTTTGGTGTCTGCATGGATTATCGAGAAATTTGATGCTTCAGATAATGAATTCATAATTCCTGCTTTACGCTTTGTAAATGACAAGTATAATCTCTTACAAAATAATCTGTAAACGAGTTTTATCCAGCTTAATCCTAAGTAATATGATTTTAACTGTTTGTTGGTGGATATCTTATTCGAGTATATTGTTTCAGTTCTGTTCATATTTTAAGAATACCTTTTTGTTTATATTTAATTTAAATTTGTACATTCTTGAGAATTAGCAAATATACAATCATATCTGCCTATTAATAATAAAGTAATAAATGTGCATTTAAAAAAATAATATGTTTTATCCAGATGACATAACAAATCACTAAAATCACTATGGATAGGTTAAAATTAACGTGGTGATATGTCTTGATAATGAGAAAAAATTTCATTATTATGCATTTGCAAAATAAAAAATTAATATAGGAGTGGCAGGCCTTGAGATTTTGGAAGGAGTTGTACATATGATGTCCACAAATGGAGTACAACAAAGGAAAAACTTTTATTTTATGAAAGAAGATCATTGTTAAAAAAACCTACTTCTGTTGAAGTGCATAAAAATATAGTTTTAAGTAGGAGTACCTATCTACCTACTCTACAAATACACGATTAGAAATAATTCAGTTGATTTTATCCTTAAATTTCATTCATTCATGATAGTAATTAAGAAACATAAAAATCAATCGTTTTCCAACATTTAATGTGTACAGGGTGTTCACACATTATTAACCGTAGGTGTAAATACTACAAAATTTTAAAGCTGAAATTATTTGCGGAAGCGATCTAGTATGATAAAAAAGTTATTTCTTGTATATTCTTATGTCTGAACATTAAGTGAAGTAATGATTGTATTTTCTGTGTAGCTAAAATCATTTTTCATATAACAAAAAAAAAATGTTGAGTCTGAAGATAATGAATATGAAGACTACAGGGCAAAAATTCTCCAAGTCAATTTTTACGGTACAATGACATTAGTACCAAAAAAATGTGTGGAAAGTAGAAAAGTCATAGCGATCTAAGGATACTTTTATCGTTTTCACCGATAACTAATTACTCGTTCACAAAAATTTTTATTTCATATTTAAATTTTATGATTTCCGAATTGAATTTAAAATTCATTTTCTAGCAAATGAAATAAAAGTGACTTTCATCGTTTTTGCCGTGTGGTCTTCATATATTTTGATATTTTTTGATTTAATACATTATTAAACTGTGAAATTAGTTATCAGTTGCCTCGAAACGTGGAAGATTAATATGTATTTTAATTCTAAAGTACTTTTAATAACATTTTTACTGATATTTTAAAAATAAAGGGCACTACACAGTATAGGGAAGTTTAAAAAATCAGAATAGTTGCTTCCAAATTTGAAATATGAAAACAATTTTAAATTTTTAATAAGTCTTTCTAAAGAAATCGGTGAAAATTTTCAATCTCGCATCTTGACGTGCTGGGGATCACTATTAACAGCAATAAAAACTACTACATTTCTAATAACATTTTAATATTAGACACCCTGTATACGTTGGCCTATTTAAAATAACATTTTTCTGCATTTGCACAGTATCTGATTTTTTACTTTTTTCATATAATAAAAAAGTTTTCCTTTTTTTTTCAACGCCATCCGTGAACACAGTATATTTGTGCAATAAAGTGTTTTTTATTTTTCACAAAATTAAATTGTTTTCGT